TTTTCTCCCGATTGCTCCTGTGTAAAGATGCCTTGTCGTGCAGAAACAAATGGCTGTCCAGTTTATTAAAATGCCTGACAACTGCACTTCCAGTCACCCGGGCCTTGCATATAGATAACGGAGCATACAGTGAGCACATCTAGCTGATGAATAATACACCCTTTTTTTTTTTTCTACTCCACTCCACCAAATGGTAAAAATGATCATCTTCATGTATGAACTTAAAATTTGAAAAATGTTAAGGAAGCAAATGGTCTGTAACTTTGTAAGTACTTAAAACATGGTGTATCTTTTTTGCTCATAAATATTCTGTACTATAACCATTGTTTCTATAGTTTAATTAAAAATGTTTTCTTGGTGTTAGCTTTTCTCAGAATATGTCTCGGTCTTTTTTCCTCTCTTTGTTTGAAAGACCTGTGCAATTTTCTAGTGAATGTTACCGATTATATAGTATGGAAGTGAAATGCTTAGTTGACTTTTTGATGGAAAATGCCAGTTCACATCAACTATCCCTAAAAGCGATGCTCTGGCAGCAACATGCTGAGGTGTGGCTACTCCTTTCTCATGACCTAACTGATGCCCTATTTTAATGACTTAGGAACAACATGAGTCCTTAATAGGTGTTTAATTTTTGTTTCCATGGCTATGTATACACATCACAGTCTTAAGGCCAATAGATCTGACCATCTTGAAACCCATGGCTTGTACTCTCAGGCTGAAGTGGTCTGGATCCTAATGGGCATGCCAAGTTGCTAATCGGTATCAACATTGTCCCAAAACAGCCTGTAGGTGTAATTCAGAGACTGTCCTTTGCAAAGGAGATAACCAGCATTTCAATAGTATGTCTTCCTGGAAGGGCAGATTCTGCTATATCTTCCTTGTCTGCATCAAAAGACACCAGAGGAATGTGGACACATTTCATATCCCACTTGTAGATCAAAGCTTCAAGTGACCAGTCAGCACTGAAAAATAAACTTTCTAAAATTATTTTCCTGTTTTGCTTCAGATGTTTTTTCATGTTATCCTTTGGCGTTGGTTGCTAAGGCTTAATTTAAATTAATAAAAATTGAATAAGCCAGGATTAGTTGGGCTTACCTTCTTACCTGGTAAGTAGACCACAATTGGACCTTGGGGTTCTTCTGCATCAGAAAGTATACTGTAGTTAAAATGTCCTCAAAGTCTAGGAAGGAAGGGCTTATTAATACAGACTTCCTACTTGCATTGTATCTCTGGCCAAATTGGCTATTAGGCAAAAAAAATTACCTTCTGGTTCAAAGAACACATCAGCTGCAAGAATAATATCTTGGGGTGGTAGAGCCAGAAGGTCCAGAGAGAGGTGACCCCATGTCAGTCCCACAACACGCACCTGCGGCAGGTGGTTCATTTGGCAGCTCTGCCGACAGACTTCCAGGCAGTGAGGCAGCTCTGCGCTGTCGGACAGTGTCACCTCAGCACCACATTTTGCAGCTATAATTCCTGGAAGGCTCACTCCAGCTCCAATCTAGTAAGTTTAAAGGATGACATTTGCAAGTTTCTGTCTAGAACTACAAAGAATTTGGATCTTAGTTCCCATTTCATCCTTGTGAGCAGTGTGTATTTGAGCTTGTCTATAAAACATGCCATGATTAAACCACTGCCTTAACCTGTAGGAACCCGGGGCTTTGAATTTGGCAAGAGCCTGTGTGATTCCTCTTAACTGGGTCAAAGTGCAGTGTATTCTGCAATTGACCTAGTGCTTCCAAACTCCATGTGTGTCTTAGGCCATTTCATTGCTTAACATGCCCAGAGAAGTAGTCTTGGGGAACTTGCTCTGTCATTTTCAGTTTTCATGAGTTAATTGTAGGGCATGCTGCCTCTAGAAGCTCCAGGGGGACTACATGCACAGCCAGTTACTGATTTTAATTGTTTTTATGTGAATAAAGCCTGACAGGTCTAGAACATGGCTTTCTACAAAAGGATTTTTCCATTTGGTTTAAAGTGACAAGGCATTTTAAACAAGGAGTAATGCCAAGGAATGCTTTTTCATTCCAATTGACTGAAATAAAAGCTCATTTCCAGTCTGAGGATGGGCATGTTAGAGCCCAAATGACCGTTGGGACACCCTAGGAAGATGGCCTTAACTGCTTCCCTGCCCAGTTAGTCACTGGGCTTCATGCAATAAGGGCCAGACAGTAAGGATTTTAGTCTTGGTGGCCACATTTTTTTAAACGCCATCTTACAAATGTAAAACCCATCCTTAACTCACATGCCTTTTAAGCTGACCAAGTTACCCCAGTTTTAAAACAGTGGGGCAAAAGTAGGTTGACAGTATGGAAAGTAATACAAGAATAAACTTTCCATACAGCTGTAAACCTACTTTGCCACACCCTGTATTGAACAAAAGCCCAAATATCAAGAATGTAGACTTCAATCTAAACTGTGTTTGAGGCCTCAAGGGCACATGTACCTCTAAGATAGCCTTGCCTGGTAGAGATCTTCTGTGAAACCACAGGTACTGGGCCAGGACTACAGCACAGGGCCAGACGTACATTCCGTACTGAAGATGCAGGACCTGGAAAGAATTTTTGTACAAAATAACTCATCTGCAACTTAACACAGCAATTACTGAGTGCCTGACTGGCATCCATTACAGAAATGACATTTCCCTGCTCTCCAATTCACATCCTACGGGGGAGTGGTGGGGGGGATACATAAAACTGCTATACCATGTGGTAAGCACTCCATTCAACAAGCATTCATTCAGACTCGTAGCTTAATAACTATTCTAGGCTGAGAATGTCATTCTCACGGAGCATATATACCCTACTAGGGAGAGACGGGCAGCAAGTAAGCAAAGATATTTTTGGTTCATGATAATGCTATAAGCACAATACATAAAGGGGGTGATGTGAGAGTAATGGGGGGGTGGGGGGGCAATGACCACAAGGTGGCTGCACTAGATAGGGAGAGAGGGTGATTCAGACAAAGGCCCTGAACAGGAACTAAAGCCTCTTGCTGGACAACAGAGCACAGACGGAGGGGTCGGAGGCAGGGTTGTGTAGTGCAAGCAGAGGCCACAGGAAGTGTAGCTTTATTTTTTTAATGCAAGAAGATATGAGGGTTTTAAGCAAAGGCATAACTTGGTGTGCTAATGGGAAGCAATGTAGGCCTAGGAAGACATCCTTGAAGAGGTTTGAGTGGCCATGAGTCTCTGAATAAATGCTTGTTGAATGAATAAACATCTGCAGAGTGCTTGCCACACGGTGTAGCAGTTTTATGTCCCCTCGAAGGAGCTGGGAAGGCAGGCAACTTACAAAGCCTTTGAAAAAGCAGAGAATTGCGAGAGCATAGTATTTCGTGAGGCAAGATAACAGCTCACAGCTCTGCAATGAGTGCCCGAGTTCAACTCCAGATCTGCTTTACCAGCTGCGTGACCTCACGTTACTAAGTCTGTGCTCGGGTTCCGCAATTTCAAAATATCTCATGGGTTAATAGGAAAATTCAATACCAACTACTTAGTGCCAGGCACCAAGCACACAAAGTTAGCTACCATGAAACATACAAAGTTAGCTATCATTAAACCCACTGCAACACGCAGGTCTGTTTTCTAGAGCAAAGGGTGCCTCTAGGGGGGTGGTAGAAAGGGGGGTGAAGTTGTAAAAGTAACAGGTGAAGGAACTATTGCCTGAACCTAACCCACTCAACAAACATGAGTGCCTAAGCCTTAGGCCCTAAGATAGGCTAGATTCTGTTCTACCTGTAAGGGTGCAGTGTGAATAAAAGCAAAACTGCCTGCCCTGGGAGATTTTACCCAGGAGGACAATGGGGAATTTCTGACCAGAGTTGTGCAGATCTGGGTGTAAAGAAAAGGGGCTCTGCCCTGGTCAGGGTTGCTCAGTGGATAGAGCGTCAGCCTGCGGATTCAAGGGTCCCAGGTTCGATTCCGGTCAGGGGCATGTACCTTGGTTGTGGGCACATCCCCAGTAGGGAGTGTGCAAGAGGCAGCTGATTGATGTTTCTCTCTCATCGATGTTTCTAACGCTCTATTCCTCTCCCTTCCTCTCTATAAAAAAATCAATAAAATATATTTTTTTAAAAAGAGAAAGAAAAGGGGCTCTGCCCCGGTCAGGGTTGCTCAGTGGATAGAGCATTGGCCTGCAGACTGAAGTGTCCTGGGTTCAATTCCCCGTCAAGGGCACATGCCCAGGTTTCGGGCTCAATCCCCAGTAGGGAGCGTGTAGGAGGCAGCCGATCAATGATTCTCTCTCATCACTGATATTTCTCTCTCTCCCTTTCCCTTCCTCTCTGAAATCAATAAAAATCTATTAAAAAGGAAAAGAAAAAGGGCCTCCATTTTCACAGGGAATATCTTCTTAAAATTGGGAAGAAATTCAAGTGGGTATTTCAACGTGAGGGCATTAGCAACTGTCAGAAATGGGCTCCACGTAAGCTGTTTCCTCTGGAAAGTGTTACATGGCACAGGCTGCTGTTAGAAACCAAATGAAAGACGGCAACGTGAAAATGCTTTGAAAAACCTGACGTACAATTACTGAGTTTTGGGACATTCGAGAGCTCAAAGGAAATGAGTGTCAACCCCGAAACTTTACTTGATCAGTGAGGGCTGGAGCGCCCGTTCCCAGAGGAAGCTTAATTAAGAAGCCCTTCAACAAGATCAAAGAAAACATTAGGTGGTAAAAATGCCGGTTTTTTCTGGCAGGAAACAGTCGGAGTGGATTAGCTCCCTCCCGGCAGGGTCCCCGATTCCTTACTGAAAGACGTCACATGCCAAAGGCTTCGCCCCAGACCTTGCGCTCTCTGGTCCATCCTAAGGCAGGAGGCCGGACCCGGCTCCCCCACACCCCTCTCTGCCTCTCCTCCCGGTGAACTGAGAACCGCTAAGCCAGGGCGCAAGGGCCGGAAGGCCTTCGGGCGGGTGCCGCTGCACGCACCTGCGGGACGCGGACCTCCAGCATGGCCCCCTCCGCTCCCAGGCCCGGCTCCTCCGAGAACCGAAAGCGCTG